CCCCAAAACCCCAAAACCCCAAAACCCCAAAACCACAAGAATACCTAACAATATTTAGAGGATGCAAGTTAAGAATAAATATATAAAATAATTGCTGCTTAGATCTTATTTATTAATATGATTATAACTCTTATAATTCTGATTGATATTGTCAGCTAGCCAAAGACAAGGGTTTATTGTTCACATATCGAGGCCACTGATCTGCTCTTATTAAGTTTGAAACATACTATGAATGAAGGTGTTTATTTATTCTTTGTCCTGGAGTCTATTAAGTTTTTCGTTGATAGGTTGCTCAACATCCATTATGATAAGATTCATTTGTTTAGTCAAATCAGCCATACCCTGCTTACGCTTGGTATCCATGACTTTTGAAGCTTCAAACACCAGTTTCTTCTCTTCATCCTTCGGAGTTTTATTCTTTTTACAGTCCCCCCTGATTTATTCGAGAGCCTCGTGCTTCTTTTAGAAGGCATACTCCAGGAATTCCTCAAGAATCTCTTCTTTCCTCTTATCAAGCTCCTAGAGTCCTTCATTTTCATCCTCCTCATCTTATTGATATTCTTATTGATATTAGTCTAAGTCAAGATTATCATCAATTTCTCTTAGGAAGTTGATATCTGATATATCGCATTATGAGTTATTTTTGGAAGCATAGTATATTTGATGACTCGTGGACTTATTTGGGGAAACTAAATATGTAAATTACCTAGTGAATATTACCTATTGTACTGCCTGGAGCATTCAAGTTAACATTGTAATAGATGTTGAGTATGCTTTTATCTTGGTAGCCACCATTATTCAATTGCTGCAATGAATAATCCATTTGAGTCTTGACCATCTTATTTATCTTTCTATTTCTTAATCTATCCTAGAAGTTTTGAGACTGATCCTTTTACTCTGACTGAATAATCTTTATGGCATACTCTTAGTTAGTTTTAATTTCCTCTATACTTTGAAATTTACTTGATCTTCTAGAACTCTAAAATGCTTTAAGCTTTTTATCTCTAGAGTTATTCTTAGGAGTATTCATGCTTTTCTCTATTTCTCCTCTTGGTGTAATGATCTCGAAATCAGATAAGACGTTAATCTTGTATTTATCGTTCATTATCTCGTCCATATCAATCTAAGATTTTTTCTTGGTTATTTGAGTGTGCAGATGAAGGGTTTGATAATGACTCTCAGGGGCATTCTAGTTAAGTGTTAAACTAAAACTCTTGTTACTTGGAGTTTTACTCATTTCTTTGTCCATGAGGACCTAAATTTCTTGCTTTTGTTTGTTCTGCTATTTCTCAAATTCATCCATTGAGCTAGAGCCTTTTTCACTTTGAATTTCACTTGTTTTGCTTAATCACACCACCTCGTCGTAATCCTCCTCATTGCTTCTACCTTTGCTACCGATTTCATTGTTCGAATTAGACAGTCTGTCAACTTCCTCCTCTTCCTCACTGCCCTAACTCCCACTGCTGCTACTACTGCTGCTCTCTACACTATCACTGCTACTTTGACTCTTGCCGCTTTTGCTTGAGTTTGAACTGTTATACATCCGGCTTCTTCTAGGTTTGAAATTCTTATCGTTTTTGTGTTTCAGTTTCTCTTCCTTTCATAGTTTCTCCTCATGCAGACTTAGTGCTTCTAGCACGTGAGTTTTAACTAAAACCGACTATAACCTCAGATTCAAGTCGATACAGGAGTCATTATCATCTATATACCCGTAATATTCAATAGCTTGCTAATAATGATTATCAATAACTGGATAATAGTTTACAGAATAGAGAAGGGTAAGACTTCTGAGAATAGCATGAGGAGTTTACTCTTTTTCCTGCTCGATTAACTTCTCTAGGTCCAATATTCTCTGGTGAAAATTCTCAGGCAATCTAAATTTCTAACTCATTAATTATATAAAAATTAAACTCTATAATTCATATAATAAAATTTTCAAGAAATCTTTAAATTATTTCGCCTTGGGGTTTTGGGGTTTTGGGGTTTTGGGGTTTTGGGG